AAAAAAAAAAAAAAAATCAGCTTGAACAATTCCACTCCCATACTAGGAATTGAAACCAGGGTGCTTTACCACTGAGTTACATCTCCAGCCCTTTTTATTTATTTTGAGACAGGTCCACACTAAGTTGCTGAGGCTGGCCTCAAATTTTTGATCTTCCTGCCTCAGTCTCTCAAGTCACTGGGATTACATGCATAAGCCACCACATCTGACTGAGAAATTCTACTTTAAGACTTTACCCTTAGAGATATACTCACATACACAAAGGTTATTCACTGGAGCATAGTTTATAATAGCAAAAGACTGGAAACAATTAGAAGATCTATCAGTATAGTTTGTAATAGCAAAAGACTAGAAACAATTAGATCTATCAGTTCAGGGAAGGTATCAAACTCATTATTGTTGATTAGGATAATGGCCAAAGTAAATTCAAAAACAAAAGAGCCTGGCATGGTAGCTTATGAGGATAATCCCAATAACTCAGGAGTCTGAGAGTAGGAGGACTGCAAGTTTGAGGCCAGTCTCAGCAACTTAATGAGGCCCTAAGCAACTAACAATACTCCATCTCAAAATAAATAAAAGAAGTAAGGGATGTAGCTCAGTGTTTAAGCGCTCCTGGGTTCTCTGGTATCAGAACAACAACAAAAAAGATGCAGATAGTATTAACAGTGTGCTACGCTTGGTCTTTTTTTTTTTTTTTCAAACAAGAAATATATACATTTGCTTTATACATGGATGGTATCTCTAGAAAGGATTTTAAGAACATAGTATCAGTTGCATCCAGGACAATGAATTGGACTGATGAGAAGGGTAGAATGAATATCTGAGGGTATATCTTTTACCTTTTGAATTCTATGCTATTTGAAAAATAAAATTTGAGCTGCAGTTATAGCTCAGCATGTGTAAGGCACTGGGTTCAATCCTCAGCACCACCGAAATAAGTAAATAAATAAAGTTTTTTTAAAAAAAGACTGGGCACGGTGGCACATGCCTGTAATCCCAGCGACTCAGGAGGCTGAGACAGGAGGATCCCAAGTTCAAAGCCAGCCTCAGCAACAGCAAGTGCTTAACAACTCATATGGGTCAGGTTGAGTCCCCCAAGTTCAATCCCCAGTACCCAAAAAAAAAAGGGCTGGGAATGTGGTTCAGTGATAAAGCACCCCTGGGTTCCATTCCAAGTACCCATCAATTAATCAATCAATAAAATTAAATAAATAATTTCTAAAAATAGTCACGTCCTTATTTCTGAGAGACAGAAACAGTTTAAATATCCCATATCTGAATCTTAGATGACAAAACACCTTACCTGCCTGATGAGCACTGGGAGGGCAGAAATGGAAACAGAAAAAACTCACTTATCCACAAATCTCAGACATACTACCTCATACTAGATAATACCACTTTAAATTCCATTTTTCAACAACCAAGTGTCCCAATTCTGAATACATATGGGGAATGTTTTCACAGTCAGAAGAGATTATTAGCAGGGTTTTTGTTTTTTTTTAAAATGGAAGGCTGGGGTTATGGCTCAGCAGTAGAGCGCTCGCCTAGCATGTGTGAGGCCCTAGGTTCAATCCTCAGCACCACATAAAAAATAACTAAGTAGGGCTGGAGTTGTGGCTCAGTAGTAGAGCACTTGCCTAGTATGTGTGAGGCCATGGGTTTGATTCTCAGCACCACAAATAAATAAATGAGTAAATAAAGGTCCATCAACATCTAAAAAAAATTTTTTTAAAGAGTATTTTATTTTATTTATTTATTTTTTTTTAATTCTTTTTTTTTTTTTAAAGAGAGAGTGAGAGAGGGGGGAGAGAGACAGAGAGAGAGAATTTTTAATATTTATTTTTAGTTCTCGGCGGACACAACATCTTTGTTGGTATGTGGTGCTGAGGATCGAACCCGGGCCGCACGCATGCCAGGCGAGCGCGCTACCACTTGAGCCACATCCCCAGCCCTAAAGAGTATTTTAATAAATAAGTAAATAAATACATAAGTAGCTGGAGTTGTGGCTCAGTGTAGAACACTTGCTTAGCATGTATGTGAGGAACTGGGTTTGATTCTCAGCACTGCATTTAAATAAATGAATAAAATAAAAGTCTGTCAACATCTTAATAAATAAATAAAATAAAGGTATTGTGTCCAACTACGACTAAAAAATAAATATTTTTTAAAACAAAAGATTATTGGATTCAGTGTTTTCATAAGCATAGAAAGTAGGTCAGTGAATTAATACTGAAGAAATATAAATACTGACTAAAAACAAATTATTTGCACTGAGGGACTTCAAAATCCAAATGAAGTTTATTTGAATCCACCAAGTTTAAGAAACTAAAATAGTTCTAAAACTTAATTATAAGAATTTGTACATGTAAGTATACTATATTACTTACATATACAGATCTACCAAACTTTAAGAGACTTTTCAGGAAAGAAAGATTTGAGACATTAAACATTAACTCCAATATTTGCTACCACAAGCAAAGCCCTGAACCATATCAAAATCTTTGAATTTGAACCTGCATATTAGAAACAGAATACTATGGACTAATGATGGCAGGAAAAAACTGATTCCAAAGTTAATAAGAAGATTCATTTGGGGTTATCTGCAACATAGGGCCACTCATACATTACAAGAAAAGATCTTCAAAGTCTATCCAAACCAGGCATGGTGGTGCACGCCTGTAATCCCAGTGGCTTAGAAGGCTGAGGCAAGAGAATTGTGAGTTCAAAGCCAGCTTCAGCAATGGCAAGACATGAAGCAACTCAGTGAGACCCTATCTCTAAATAAAATACAAAACAGGGCTAGGGATGTAGCTCAGTGGTCAAGTGTCTGAGTTCAATCCCCAGTACCAAAAAAAAATCTATCCCAAGATTTAGCAGAAACAAGGTAGTCTTCAGCTAATTATTCCCTCAAAAACAAAAGGGTATTTACAAAGTAGAGACAGTCATTCTAAATTATAATAACTGTGGGAGCCAATTCCTGGTTCTTCCATTTGATAACTTATATGCCTCCATGGATTCTTTCTGTATTCTAAGTCAAAAATCTTAAAGAGGTTTAAAAGTGACACAGACTTTAAAGAACCTACCACAGTTTTTTCTCTATTAACATCATAATGTTATGTTTAGCAATTTTCCCCTCTCCCTTCTTTCTTTGCCATACTGGGGTTCATACTCAGGGCCTTTTACATGCTAGGAAAGCACTCTATCACTGAGTTACATCCCCAGCCCTTTTTATTTTAAGACAGGATCTTTTTTTTTTTTAAGAGAGAGAGAGAGAAATTTTCAATATTTATTTTCTAGTTTTCGGCGGACACAACATCTTTGTTGGTATGTGGTGCTGAGGATCGGACCCAGGCCGCACGCATGCCAGGCAAGCACGCTACCGCTTGAGCCACATCCTCAGCCCCAAGACGGGATCTTACTAAATTGCCCAGGATGGCCTCAAACTTGCAATCCTCCTGCCTAAGCCTCCAGATTAGCTGGAATTTCAGGCATGCACTACCATGCCCAGCAATTTAATATACCTTCTTAAATTATATAAAGAAAGGCTCATTGGTGGCTGGAGTTGTAGCTCAATGGTAGAGCACTTGCCTCACAGTCACAAATTCTTGGGTTCATTCCTCAGAACTGCAAAAAAAAGAAAAAGAGAGAGAGAGAGAGAGAGAGAGAGAGAGAAAGAAAGAAAGAAATGTTCATAAGCTTAGCTTATAAGGTTCCTTTGGCTCAAAGGCTTGGGATTTGGGGCAGAGATTGGAAATACTACCTTTCTTCCTCAATGCCCTAGACTTGCAAAGCTAGGCAAAGGCAATGATTCTGCATTTAATCACTAGATGAATAAGAACCAGATTTGAATTTAGAAAAAAAAATAAATGATTGCAAGAACATTCAGTAAAGACTGCTGCCTCTCTTTCCTTGCAGAACAGCTCTCAGGATCTGCCAATGAACCTCATTTTGACATGGAACGCCCCATCCACTCTAATCCAGGCTCAAGAGACAGTCAGTCAACCGAAACTCTGCCAACTTCTGCTTGGGAGCTGTGTGAAGAACAGTAGCAACAAGAGCCTACTTTGAGAAGGAGATCAACAATCACACTCAAGAAGAAAAGAAGTTATTTGGCAAAGGGATGCATGTTGCCAAAATGTTAATCACAGCTTCAAAGTCCTGGTTTGTGTATCTGCAACTATTCTTTGCTTTGACAGAGTCCATTCTCTAGTGCAGGAAACCCAACTCAGCTTCTGTCACCCTCCTCATTTGAAACAGTCAAGAATCTTTTCAATTTGGTGATATCAAACTGTGACACAGACAAGATATCCACCAGAAACTAAAAAGGGGGGGGGGAGGTACGGGTAATGTGAAATCTGCCATTTTCCACTTAGTAATAGCTCAAGCAGAGCAACGGGAAAATGTAGAACAGGAAAAATTGAAAAACATTATATTAAGGAAGCAAGCTATACCAAAAGCCTCCCCAGGAGCTCTGAGCCTCTATAAGTTATCTCAGAAACCTCTTAAAAATTAACCAAGGGGGGGGGCTGGGGTTGTGGCTCAGCGGCAGAGCGATGGCCTGGCAAGTGCGAGGCCCTGGATTCAGTCCTCAGCACCACATATAAATAAATAAGTAAAAAGAAAGGTATTGTGTCCGACTACAACTAAAAAATAAATATTAAAGAGGAAAAAAAAATGAACCAAGAGGGCTAAAGTTATGGCTCAGTAGTAGAGTGCTTGCCTAGCATGTGTAAGGCACCACATAAAAATAAATAAAATAAAGGTATTGCATCCACCTACAACTAAAAACTATTTTGGAAAAACTA